CTTGATTCCCTAACTTCTATGGAGAGAATTTCCTCCTCTGAAGTGGAGGAGGAGATAGGCTGCCTCTTCTTCCAACGTGATCACTAGATAAAAATGTCTGAGGAATCATTTTAATTGGAGGGAAAGTATTTCATGCACATAAGACCTTAAATAATTATCCTGCAGATTATTAAAGCCCTAGAAATTGACTCTGAAGGCAAATTTGATAAGGTACCAAAGACGACCTTTCAAAGATGAAAATAAAAAATAAATAAGGTTGGCCAGGCAGAGGCACTGACTTTGTAATTGACCGGGGGTGCTCAACTCCCCCCCCCCGCCCCGCCCCAGGACCCAACCCCACTCCACCTCTTCTGCCAAGGCCCCACCTCCACCCTGCCTCTTCCCACCCCTGCCCTGCCCCCATCCCACCTCTTCCTGCCCCCACTCCACCCCCACTCTGCCTTTCCCCCCAGTACCTCCTGCATGCCACTGAACAGCTGAACACAGTGGGCGGAAGGCGCTGGGAGGGAGAGGGAGGAGCTGATCGGTGGGACTGCCAGTGGATGCTGAGCACCCACTATTTTTTTCCATGGGTGCTCTGGCCCCGGAGCACCCACAGAGTCGGCACCTATATGATGACCAAGTATTCCTGAACCTGAGAGGATATTGTAGACCCTGGACAGCTAGCACCGAAAAACATCTGTTTATAGATTTGCCCTAAAACTTCACAAGGTGCCTTCAGATAATATTCCTAAAATAGGGTGACCAGATGTCCCGATTTTATAGGGACAGTCCCGATGTTTGGGTCTTTTTCTTATACAGGCTCCTATTACCTCCCACCCCCTGTCCCAATTTTTCATATTTGCTGTCTGGTCACCCTATCCTAAAATCACCCTAAGAAGGTACAGCTTTATTTTCTGGTTGTATGACACTGTAAATCTTTACTTGAACAGGACTCCTCAGTTCAAGAAAGCAGATTCATTATTCATATTGTATGTTGCCCATAAAAGAGGAGATAAAATATTGACACTGACATGTTCCAGATGGGTCAAAGCAGTGACTTAAAGAAACAGTCAGGAAAAACTTTTCCCAGCAGGACTGAAGTACTTTATAGCAGTCTCATGGGCAGAGAGAAGGAAAGCATTTTAAGACAAAATGTGCTGTGCGCTGTTTGGGCTCCTGCACATTCCTTATCAAACAGTACATTTTGAGCATTTCCTCATTTCCAGGTGCCTCTTTCAACCCCCAAAATCTGCAGGCTGCTCTGATCTCCTAAATCTTTCCTTTAAACTTCCATTTCTTTTTATCACTTCATCAGATGTATAGAATGGAACATATAGTAAGAAGATATATATACATACAGAGAACATGAAAAGGTGGAAGTTGCCATACCAACTCTAAGAGGCTAATTAATTAAGATGAGCTATTAGCAGGAGA